GGTTTAGGGTTTAGGGTTTAGGGTTTAGGGTTTAGGGTTTAGGGTTTGGGGTTCAGGGTTTAGGGTTTATGCATGCGGTCTCTCGGACAGTCTCGAAGCAACGACTTGGAGACTAGACTACAGGATCATTACGAATTGGCGTCAATCGGGTTTAGGGTTTAGGGTTTTAGGGTTGTAGCTCAGCCTGACCACTGAAATCCACCGGTTCCCGCTTCGTATGCAAGGAGCTGAAGACTCGTGACATCCCTAAACCCTAAACCCCTAAACCCTAAACCCCTAAACCCTAAACCCTAAACCCCTAAACCCCTAAACCCTAAACCCTAAACCCCTAAACCCCAAATCCCGCCATCTTGTTTCAATCGAAGCCGGGAAGCCCGAGCTTGAAGCCCTTCTTTGGGTAGTTCTCTAAACTACGGTCCCTTTAAGGGTCCTTGCTATAAGGGTGCCGTACTATATTGGGGACCTAGAAAGGGACCGAAATTTAGAGAACTACCCGTTTTTAGGGATTTCAATACTTGCATACTTATACCGCAATCACCCCAACACGCGATTCTAATTACTACGCCCCCATACTAAACCCCCTATAATCCCTTGAAGGAACCTTTTGAAGGAACCCTATTCGGGTTTAGGGTTTAGGGTTTAGGGGAATCAATAAGGCCCTTATTCGAATCAATAAGGCCCCTAAACCCTGAACCCTAAACCCTAAACCCTAGACCCTTAGATGTTGCACCGAGATGATGCAAACTGAAGGCTGAACTTGAGCCACAACCCGCTCGGCGATGAAGGCATCTTGGCCATCGCCAAGGCCGAGAGTTAGGGTTTCTCGAGGCTCTCTGCAAGATACATGTGTATATATATATATATATATATACATACGTGTGTGTGTGTATTAGATTATGAGCAATAGACATTGTATGCATGCATGCATGCATGTATGCATGTATGCATGTATGCATGTATGTATGCATGCATGCATGCATGCATGTATGTATGTATGTATGTATGTATGTATGTATGTATGTATGTATGTATGTGCGTGTGTAATGTAGTAAATGTAATGTAATGTAATGTCATGTCATGTAATGTAATGTAATGTAATGTAATGTAATGTAATGTAATGTAATGTAATGTAATGTAATGTAATGTAATGTAATGTAATGTAATGTAATGTAAGCATGTATGTATGTATGTATGTATGTATGT